AGTAAAGCATGCTTGTGAGGGATTCAAAAATTAATGTAACATAATGTAATCTTTCCTTTATAATCCTGAATGAGTCATAAGCTTTCTATTGACCCCAGAGTACCCCACCTCTTTGGGGCACTTCACAATACATAATACGTCGTTAGGCTCTCTAGGTTGAGGGGCATCTAAACAATTTCTTTCCATGTTATATATAAAACGACGTTCAACTTTGGAAATATATATTCATAATCTGCATTTGACTTATGAACTCCAAAGTGTATCCCTGATTATTTCTGGGACTACTATGAAAATACCAAGTCGGTGGAACTTGATTCAAGCTCCCTACAAACTGCCTCTCCTTACCTGAATATACACAAGATTATATTTCTACATGCCTTTTTTAGTGCTGAAGTTAGACCCATGGTTTGCATATCTACATGAAATGAAAATAGAAATATAGTAAGCATATGAAAACTATGAGGAAATAAAAGAACATTTCATAAATAAGGATTAAAAGGACACAATCTATCTTTTGTGCTTGCAGTGCTCAGAGAAATAACTGGAAAAGATCAAGGTTCATGAGTTTCCTCTAAGAATGAACATACACAATGGGATTTATAAACTAGAAATTTCACGTATGCACTCTCCAAAATATTTGTTGGGGGTTTTTTTTAGGTTTTTTTAAAGGGTATTTTTTAAAAAATACATTAATTTATTTATTTTTGACTGCGTTGGGTCTTCGTTGCTGCGCACGGGTTTCTCTTGTTGTGGAGCATGGGCTCTAGGCACGTGGGCTTCAGTAGTTGTGGCTCGCAGGCTTTTGAGCACAGGCTCAGTAGTTCGGGCACACAGGATTAGTTGCTCTGCAGAACTGGGATCTTCCCGGACCAGGGCTCGAACCCATGTCCCCTGAACTGGCAGGCAGATTCTCAACCACTGCGCCACCAGGGAAGCCCTATTTGTTGTTAATTACTTTTGCTTTTTTTTTTCATTAATGAATTTATTTATTTATTTTTGGCTGCGATGGGTCTTCATTGCTGCGTGGCTTTCTCTAGTTGCTGAGTGGGGGCTACTCTTCGTTGCGGTGTGCAGGCTTCTCATTGCGGTGGCTTCTCTTGTTGCAGAGCTCCAGCTTTAGGCACGCAGGCTTCAGTAGTTGAGGCTCGTGGGCTCTAGAGCGCAGGCTCAGTGGTTGTGGCTCACGGGCTTAGTTGCTCTGCGGCAGGTGGGATCTTCCTGGACCAGGGCTCGAACCCATATCCCCTGCATTGGCAGGAGGATTCTTAACCACTGCGCCACCAGGGAAGTCCCTGAACTTTTGCTTTCTCTGCTGGAAAAGGATGGAACCCCACACAAAGTTTAGTTGGAGGGCTTTCTGTGGAGACCAGCGTGGACCAAGTTGTTCCCAAAATGGCTACAGAAAGCAGAGCAGAGAATGGTGACGTTCTTGCGTTACGGTGGATACAAGACTGGGCTGTGGTGATGGTACTTGCTTGTGGTGTGAACCTACAAGTCCTGCCAAGGGATGGAGCGCTCAGGCTTTATTATCAGCCTGCCCTGATAACATGGGCAAAAGAGGAAGAGCTTGTACCGAGTCATAAGGTGTCTGTAGCCAGACCTCAAAAATGGAGTCAGACTCACAATGTTTTGGATTCATTTTGTACTTCCACCTTCCAGAACAAGAGCATAAATCTATGTTGATTTAAGGCATTTAGTTTGTGGTAAGTTGTTACAGCAGAAATAGAAATTTTAAAGAAATGATGTATGTGGAAAATCAAAAGAATCTACAGGGCTTCCCTGGTGGTGCAGTGGTTGACAGTCTGCCTGCCGATGCAGGGGATACGTGTTCGTGCCCCGGTCCAGGAAGATCCCACATGCCGCGGCTGGGCCCGTGAGCCATGGCCGCTGAGCTTGCGCGTCCGGAGCCTGTGGCCCGCAACGGGAGAGGCCACAATGGTGAGAGGCCCACATACCACAAAAAAAAAAAAAAAAAATCTACAGAAATTTCTAGAAAAAGTATAAGATGCAAGGTGTCAGGATACAAGTACACCATGCAAAATTTTATTGAAATTTTATAATAGTAGCAATTTACAAATGAATACTGAAATTTAAAATGTAGTATCTTCTTTAAATGCTCAGAAAAGTAAAACTAGAAGAAAAATGTGTAAATCTAACAAAACATGGACTTTTATATGAAAAACTACAGTGGTCTGAAAGAAATCAAAGATGACATTTAATTTAGGTCATTTTAGGGAAACACACCACAGTCAGTGAATTGCTAGAGAAACATACCATATTCATTGAAGGTAAGACACAACATAGAAATGATGACAAATCACCTCAAATTGACATACAGGTTTAATGCATTTCTCCACAAAATTTCTGAAGATACAAACAAGATTTTTCTAAAATAAGTATGGAAGGCAAAAGAAACAGAAGAGCTGATATATCTGAAAAATACTACGTGGGCAAAAAGTATATTTGAAGTGGTTGGAATCACTCCACACAATAACAAGATTTATAGTACAGTGACAGTAATCAAGACTGTGTGGGATTTGTCGAGTGACAGACACAAAGACCAACAGAACAGAATGAGGAAACCAGAAACAGCCCTACAGGAGTACAGTGTACCCTTGAACAACACGGGTTTAAGCTGTGTGGATTAACTTATACGTGCATGTTTCCCAGAGCACACTATCACAGTACTGCAAGGTCACAACTGAGTTGAATCCAAGGATGCAGAACCACGGATATGGAGGGCCAATATTAAGTTATACGTGGATTTTTGACTACTCGGGACTCAACACCTCGAACTCCCTGCACTGTTCAAGGGCCACTGTGCTTCCAACAGATTTTTGACTAAGGTACCAAGGCAATTCAATGAACGAAGGATTTTCAAAAACTGGTCGTAATCAATAACATGTTCACAATGGGGGAAAAAACTCCCATTTAAACTTCACACCTGCACAAATATTAGCTCAAAGGTAATCACTGGTTTAAAGGTAAAATTATACAACTAAACAACAAGACATTTAGTAAAAACACTGCAGAATAAAATTTTGATACCCTATGGATAACTGCTCTTCTAAAAAATTGCTTACATATATGATCTGGTAAACATTTCCAAACATTAATTTTTTTACTGAAGTAGAGATGATTTACAATGTTCTCTTAGTTTCTGCTGTACAGCAAAGTGACTCAGTCATACACATATATACATTCTTTTTTATATTCTTTTCCATTATGGTTTATGCCAGGAGACTGAATATAATTCCTTGTCCAAACATTAATTTTTATTAACCTAGGGTAAAAACACCTCGGGCAATTTACTTAAACAGTGTTTTACAAGCATTTTCAAAAACCATATTGCACAATGGAACATACGTGTGCCTCAGGTAAAGAAATGTAATAAATTATCAGCATGAAGAAAACTGTATTGTTTCCTAATCAAGAAATCAGGAGTTTCAAGAGTAAACATTCAGGGCTTCCCTGGTGGCGCAGTGGTTGAGAGTCTGCCTGACTATGCAGGGGACACGGGTTCGTGCCCTGGTCCGGGAAGATCCCACATGCCGCAGAGTGGCTAGGCCCGTGAGCCATGGCCACTGAGCCTGCACGTCCGGAGCCTGTGCTCCGCAACGGGAGAGGCCACAACAGTGAGAGGCCCGCGTACCGCAAAAAAAAAAAAAAGAGTAAACATTCGCTGTTTTGTTAAACAACCTGAATCCATTTTATGATGTTGGACTACTGACAGCTTTAGGCAGCAGGACAACCTCTTCCTATTCTACCTATGTGGGCAAACTAATTAAAAAAAAAAAAAACCTGAGGACTCCCTCCTTTGATACAAACTGAAAGTTCAAATCTCATCAAGTGATCTCCTTAACACATGATGCCATTGACCACTCCCTGTTCCCTTAAACCATTTTTTGAACACCTTGGAAGTCTCCACCCTTCCCATAGAAAGCTGAATTATATAACAAACATTCTCATAACACTTCAATATAAATATCAGTCTCGATAACCAAACCAAATTCTGTGTGGGGTTCCACCCTATTCCAATGAATGGGCACAAGTGCAAATCAGCAGCAAGAAAAATATGTCTTAAGGGTGAATACATGAAATTTCTAGTTTATCCACCAAACAAAAATGTCCCCATTGTATGTGGTTCATTTTGAAGAGAAAACTCATGAACATAGAGCCCTAAAAATTATTTCACTGAGCACAATAAAGGACAAATGTGATACTGCATGATTTTTAAATTTTTCTATTTTGCATATGCTTACTATTTTCCTAGTTTCTCTTCATCTAAATCAAGGTACATACCATGACGTTTATTTAGACACATAAAAGAACAAGAAAAAATACATTCATATACTGCATACTCAAGAATGGGGAGCAGGTATTAAGGAGTGTTTAAAAAAATAGCATTCCCAAGGTAGAGTAATGCTGTAATGTTCTGTTCAGTATGGACTGTCTGATGATTAGTAGGATGTGAGCCCCAAGTGAAGGTTTTCTGCAGTCATACATTCATGAGGTAATCTCCAGAACGAATTCTTTGGTGAATACATTCCTTGTCAAAAGGCCAGGCCACAACAATTACAATTATTGGTTTCAATCAGGAATGAAATTTCTAATAAAGCCTAAGATGGGGACACCTGCTAAAAGCCTTGTCACATCACTACATTATTAAAGTCTCTCACCAATATGGATTGCCTGATGGCATTAAGTCAGGCTTGAAAGCACACTGAAGAATTTGACATGCTCATTACATGTGTAAGACTGCTCACCATTATGAATTCTCCGAAGACTAGGAAGGGCTGAACTCTGACGAAAGACCTTGCCACACTCATTCCATTTGTTAGCCTTCCCACCACTATGAATTCTCTGATGACGTACAAGGTTTGCATTTTGACTAAACACTTTGCCACAATCAATACTCTTGTAATTTGCTCCATTATGTATTTTCCAATGAATTCGAAGTTGGGGTTTTTGACTAAAGACCTTGGCACACGCATTACATTTTAAGGTTTCTCTGCAATATGAATTTCTTGATGCCTTGTAAGGGTTGTCTTCTCACAAAAGACCCTGCCACACTCGTGACATCTGTAAGGTTTCTCTCCAGTAAGAATTCTCTGAAGCAGTGCAAGGACTGCATTTCGATTAAAGACTCTGACACACACATCACATTTATATGGTTTGGATCCTGTATGGATTATCTGATGATGCCAGAGAGTTAAGCCATGATGAAAAGTTTTGCCACACACATTACGTTTGTAAGGTTTCTCTTCAGTATGAATTCTCCGATGAATTGCAAGGTATGAATTTTAACCAAAGACCTTGACACATATATCACAATTATGTAATTTCTCTCCTGTACGGATTATCTGATGCCTACTGAGGTATGAGCCCTGATGAGAGGTTTTAGCCACACTCATTATATTTGTAAGATTACTCACTATTATGAATTGTTGGATGACTTGCAAGGTTTGTGTTTTGACTAAAGACTGGGACACATTCATTACATTTGTAAGGTTTCTCTCTAGTATGAATTTCCCGATGAAGTCCAAGGACTGCATTTTGATGAAAGACTGTCACATACATCATATTTATATGGTTTTGCTGCTCTATGGATTATGTCATGCCTACTGATGCCTGAGGAAGAAAGAAAGATTTTCCCACAGACACTATGTTCTCCACAGTATGAATTCTCTGATGAGTTACAAGGTCTGGACTTTGACTAAAGACCTTGGCGCACACATCACATTTATGTAATTTCTCTCCTGTATGGATTATCCGATGTCGACTGAGGGTTGAGCTCTGATTAAAGGTTTTACCACAGTCATTACACTTGTAAGGTTTCTCTCCAGTATGAATTCTCTGATGAACTGAAAGCTTTCTTTTCTGACTAAAGACCTTGCCACACTCATTACATTCATAAGGTTTCTCTCCAGTATGAACTCTTTGATGAATTACAAGGTCTGAATTTTGACTAAAGACCTTGTCACATACATCACATTTATGTAATTTCTCTCCTGTATGGATTATCCAATGTCGAGTGAGGATTGAGCTCTGATTAAAGGTTTTACCACACTCATTACATTTGTAAGGTTTCTCTCCAGTATGAATTCTCTGATGAACTGAAAGCTTTCCTTTTGTACTAAAGACCTTGCCACACTCATTACATTCGTAAGGTTTCTCTCCAGTATGAATTCTTTGATGAATTACAAGATCTGAATTTCGGCTAAAGACCTTGTCACATACAGCACATTTATGTAATTTCTCTCCTATATGGATTCTCTGATGACTCCTGAGGTTTGAGCCCTGATGAAACGTTTTGCCATACTCATTACATTTGTAAGGTATTTCCCTGTGTGGGCTCTGGTCTTGTGTCAGTATTGAAGGATGCATAAAATATATATTAGAAATGTTGGTTTGGACAGGAGGAGAAATTCCTTCAACTGGTGAAAATGAGGAACTACTGCTGATACCCTTAAGAGCTTTATTAAAATCATCAATGTTCTGTTTACTTTTAAACATATGAAGTTCATCCTGAAGGCTTAACACAAGTCTATTTCCAATAGGCTTGTTTCCCGCATCCCTTCCACCATGTTGACTTCTTCTATCAGTGACATTTTGGTTATGGGACGTAGGGATATTTCTGTAATTTCTTTCATCATGTCTCCACTGAAATCCAAAGTCAAACATATTCTCCTGTATTTCCGAGAGGTAAAAAGGTTTGATTTCCTGGATTTCATGTCTTCCCAAAATCACTGTTTGGAATACTCCTCCTCTATCAATGTTTGATTTTAGCTGTAATTTCCTTATCACATGTATATGAGAAATATCTACAAGATATAAAGAACCATACATTTCCTATTCATTACACTGCATGAATAAATGTTTCACGTTGAATACATGATATTAAACAAAAGTAACACTTTTATCAAACAGAGTTACGAAACTTTTCAACCATGATGTTAAATTTTTGAAGAACAGTAAAGAATAGGATTCTTCACTACAGAAAGAGTGATTACACGTAATTCAAATTAAGTTCAGCGTAGCATCGTTTCAACCACTGTGACAAAAACATTCAAATGGAAAAACTTACATTAGCTCTCAAAAAAGGGTATTTTCCACGGTGACCACAAAGCACATACCAACTAACAGTAAACACACAAATACCAGAAGTTTAAAAAGGAAATCTTAAGGGAGATGCAAGAAGAAGTGAGCTATGTAACTAATACTGTTATTCAAGCATCCCTGCTGGAAATGGTTTCTGAGTCATCACGGCTGCTCATATTGATTCAGGTCATCTACTGAAAAAGTTTTTCAATGGATGAAAGGGAATCAATTTTACAGTGTGAGTAATGAGGAAGGTGGAGGGATGGATGATGAAGTGCTGTGGAAACTGGGGAGATCAAGAGAACAACTTAAATACGTGACCAACGACAGTGATTCTATCCACATCAAGAGACAATGTAAACGGACTTCCCTGGCGGTCCAGTGGTTAAGACTATGTGCTTCCAAAGCAGGGGGTGCAGGCTCCATCTCAGGTCAGGGAACTAAGATCCCACATGCTACGGGGTGTGGCCAAAAGTAAATAAATAAATAATACAAAAAGAGAGACAGAGAGAGACCATGTAAAGAAAGACCAGGACTGATAACGGGACTGAGTGGAGGAGAGGGAATAATAAACATGGGGTATCACAGCTTGTGACTGCATATATGTGTGAATAAAACCGTATGAGGCAACTAAAAATAATGAGGTTAAAAAAGAGGGCTTCCCTGGTGGCGCAGTGGTTAAGAATCCACCTGCCAATGGAGGGGACACAGGTTCGAGCCCTGGTCCAGGAAGATCCCACATGCCGCAAAGCAACTAAGCCCTGCCACAACTACTGAGACTGCGCTCTAGAGCCCGTGAGCCCCAGCTACTGAGCCCACATGACACAACTACTGAAGCCCACATGCCTAGAGCCCATGCTCCTCAACAAGAGAAGCCACTGCAATGAGAGAAAGCCCGCACGCTGCAATGAAGACCCAACGCAGCCAAAACTAAATAAAGAAATAAATATACAAAAAGAAAAAAATTAAACTAAATTTTAAAAATTAATTAAGGAAAAAAAAGAGAAAAGAAAAGAATTGGTCCAGCAAGTAACACAACACTATTCCTTTTTTTTTGGCCATGCCATGCAGCTTGCTGGATTCTTAGTTCCCCAAAAAGGGATCAAACCTGAGCACACAGCAGTGAAAAGAGCCGAGTCCTAACCACTGGACCACCAGGGAGTTCCCAATACGATTCCATTTTTAACTGTGGAAATTATACTCTGGGTATGGGGCCAAAACAAAAGGGATTTAAAAAGAGAGAGAATGGGACACTGAAGCAATAAAGCAGGTTTACATTTATTACATTATTTGCTACATAAGGTATCAAATTGAATATTCCATAGGCCCCATTTCTATGCATATAATCACAAAGTACACACATAATATCCCAGGAGATGTGAAAAAATGTTCTTAGCCGAAACCTAAAGGAAAAACTGCAATAAGGCGATCAGAAAGAGAGTTTCTTCCATACTAAAACATACAGATACAAAGAAACTGAAAAGTATAAAAGTTCCCCGAGTACTGTAAAAAGAACAAAACTATAATATAATGCAGCAATTACATTATTGGGAATATATCAAACAAAATGAAATCACTGTCTTAAAAGATACCTACACTTTGGGCTTCCCTGGTGCCGCAGTGGAAGAATCCGCCTGCCAATGTGTGGGACACGGGTTCGAGCCCTGGTCTGGGAAGATCCCATATGCCGCGGAGCAACTAAGCCCGCGCGCTGCAACTACCGAGCCTGCGCTCTATAGCCCTCGAGCCACAACTACTGAAGCCCGCGCACCTACAGACCGTGCTCCGCAACAAGAGAAGCCACCGCAACGAGAAGCCCGCACACCACAAGGAAGAGTAGCCCCCGCTCGCTGCAACTAGAGAAAGCCCGCGCGCAGCAACAAAGACCCAACACGGCCAAAAATAAATAAATAAAATAAATAAATTTATTAAAAAAAAAAAAGATACCTGCACTCCCACATTCATAACAGCAGTAATCACAATTGCCCAGGCATTGAAACAACCTAACTGTCCAACAGATGGATAGGGAACAAATCTGGGAGATACACAGAATGCAATTTCATTTATACATAAAGAAGAAAAAAATCCTGCTATTTTTAACAGCCCAGATGGACAATGAGGGTATATACTCAGTAAAATTATTCAGAGAAAGAATAAAACTGAATGATCCCATTTATGTACAAAATATATTTTTTAAAAAAGAGGCATGCTGGGACTTCCCTGGTGGTCCAGTGGTTAAGAATTCACCTTCCATTGCAAGGGATGCGGGTTCGCTCCCTGGTCGAGGAACTAAGATCCCACACGCCAAGAGGCAAATAAGCCCAAGTGCTGCCTCAACTGAGCCCATGAGCTCTGGAGCCCGCCCGCCACAACTAGAGAAGCCTGCGCGCCACAATGAAGACCCAGTGCAGCCAACAAAAAAATAAATACATAAATAAAAATAAAGTAAAATTTAAAAAAGAGACATACTAAGAGCAACTTAGAGTAGAACAGCTGTTACCAAACTCCGGTAGCAGAATGTGGAGATATTAGTCAAAGGAGTAAATGGCTAAGGTAGCAAAACAAGCAGACAGGGCTTGAGACAGCTCCTTGTAGGTTCTGAGGTGCCAGATGGAATGAAAGAGCAGCCAGTGTTTTCCCATCTTCTGATTAGGTCTTCAAAGAACACAAGATGGGGGTGGAACCCAGAAAGGCTCAGGGGCTGGAGTCTGGAGGCATCAGCTCTGATCTATAGAGACTGAGAACTGAGCATCCAAGGGAATCAAGTCCAAAAGGAGAGCTGAGGGAGCAATAGACCCCTTTAAAACAACCCTGTTGGGGCTTCCCTGGTGGCGCAGTGGTTGAGCGTCCGCCTGCCAGTGCAGGGGACATGGGATCGTGCCCTGGTCCGGGAAGATCCCACATGCCGCGGAGCGGCTGGGCCCGTGAGCCATGGCCGCTAAGCCTGCACGTCCGGAGCCTGTGCTCTGCAATGGGAGAGACCACAACAGTGAGAGGCCCGCGTACCGCAAAAAAAAAACACAAAAACCCTGTTCACGCTCCTCAAAATGAAGCAGCAACATGTTCACAGGGGCCAGATAGCCGAGTGCAGTAGATCACGATAAAGACTGCCTTTGTCTTTGGTGGAGCTCCCACACCACTGGAGGGGGAAAGAATACATTTTACATGTTGAGGGATCGAGTGATAACTAAGGGAGAAGAAAAATTTCCTCTCAGACTTGACAACGAATAGATTTCTGTTTTCGCAAACAACTCTCCCATTTGGTAGAGTTTCCCAAACACTACTAATGCTGCAGTGGGTCTGGAAACATATTTCACTAACTCATCCACTGCTTGCCTCCTTCTCAATGCAGAGGGAATGATGAAATATGCAGACATCTAACTGTCTTCCAGTAGGTACTGAATTAAAAGCACAGAGGTAGAGCACAGGGAATGAAATATTTTAAAAGTTTCCGCTTGGGCATTAGACATACTTAATCACTTAAAAAATTCCTGGTGTACCGCGAAGTGGCCAGATCATCTGAAGAAAGGGCATGTTTAAACTCCTGATGCTAAATCAAGAAGCTTTTCATGCCTCAGTCAACATGGCTTTGAGCTCAGTTAAGCAAGGCAGGGGATTCCAAAAGGCAAACAAGGGAAAATGCAAAGACACCCTCCCGACTTTTGGAGGGAAGTTATCCTCACCCACAGAGATCAGGTTCCTGCAGGTCTCCAACATCACGTCCCTGTACAAGGCCCTCTGAGCAGGGTCCAGGCATTCCCACTCTTCTGGAGAGAATTCGATGGCCACATCATTCAATGTCAACTGTCCCTTAAATAAAAAAACATTTCACCAAGAGGACGTGAGGAGAGTTCTGATTTCCATACAAAATGAGTAGAGGTAAAAGATCAATTAGGTTGAAGTAAGTATTCTGACAGATCCATGGAAAGGTATTTGAAGCTAACTGGGTGTCTAATTTTAATTTCTTATGCTTTGTCATAGAGATTACAATATCCTTCAAATCGATTTACCCTTCTCATTCTTGTAGGCAATACATAAAATATATGCAAATAAAAATTCAACACCGTGTTGTCCATGGGGAAGTGTTAGATATTACGTTCTATACACTGAGGGATAATCATCCTCCTGGAGGTGGAGGAACATGAATGGTGTCCTCAGAGACGACAGAGTCCACAGTGGCTCTATAAAGAAAGCTCAAGACCTCCAATTATGATGATGATAACAGCAGCAAAGAGGAACATTATGGGCTTCCCTGATGGCGCAGTGCTTGGGAGTCCGCCTGCCGATGCAGGGGACGCGGGTTCGTGCCCCGGTCCAGGAAGATCCCACATGCCGCAGAGCGGCTGGGCCCGTGAGCCATGGCCACTGAGCCTGCGCATCCGGAGCCTGTGCTCCGCAATGGGAGAGGCCACAACAGCGAGAGGGCCGTGTAAAAAAAAAAAAAAAAAAAAAAAAAAAAAAAAAAAAAGGAACATTATATGAACACTTCCTATATGCTATGCATTACTCTAAATGTTTTACATGTATTTACTTGTTAGCAACATCAAAGCTCACTAAAGAAAGATCTTTTCCCAACTTACAGAGGAGAAAACTGTGTCAGAGACACTCTGAAAAACTCAACTGAGTTCAGCAATCTAAGGAATCATACACTAAGCACATGAACTTGGTTGGGCTACACCATGGTTGGGCTCTGGAACTGAAGCTTAAAAATCAAAGAGTTAAGTAACACATAGAGCATTAAAATTTCATTGACAGACGACTACCTGAGAAAACTTTAAAGAAGTTCAAGGTAACCAACATGGAACAGCCTAAAAGTTCATTATATACATGTACACGCACACATACACACAAAATGTTAGTAATCTTATTACTATTTAAACCATGAACATGATACTGTAGAAAAAATTCAAGGCCAGTGAATATATTAAAGATATAATATGAACTGCAAAAAGATATCTATAGATTTAAAATCATGATGTCTTTTATCTAAACCATGGACTTGCACATCCATGCACATATGCACACATGTCAATGATAAATTAACTGAAACGAGACTGGTCTCCTGACAGATTTTCAGACTATTTTTGTATTATCATATTTATTCACATGTATTTCAGGATATTTCTCACAGAAATGAAAATGTACAAACTGTACTAAACTGAGTTTCTCAACATGATTCTATAGTAGGCTACTAAAAAAGAAAATAGTACAGACATTAAAAAAAAAACAAGAATACTTTAACTCCAATTTCAATAACTATATTCAAAAATATAAATCTGTCCATTTGAATTTATACAGATAAGCATTAACAAAAGCCAAAAAGGGTTTCTCTGTTTTTCCACTAATAAAACATTGATTCAAAATTAGAAAACAAATTTTTTTTAATTAGAAAAGTTACTACTATTATACATTATTTTAACAGATTAAGAATAAAATTCTCACAATGGTAAAGTAAAAAGTTTCTTGGAGAATTGTAAAACATAACAAAAAAGAATATGGAAAAAATATATTGTTATTAAGAAAGAACATTTCACCAATGTCATGATCAGAAGGAAAGGGTCGATGCATTCCCTCTGACATTACAGTGGAGTGAAGGGGGCTGGCCAGGTCTCCTGCCTTTCACCACAGTACAGTGTGCCTGAGCAGGGACCACTGAAGAAAGTGACAGGAGGAAAACAGAGAGCTAGAGTGAAAGACAAATCTAAGGACAGGAAAGGCAAACAGCAAAAGGAAGGAAAAAGACATTCTATCCCACAGACAGCAAGAGTGACTGCATAATATCAGACAAAGTAAACAGAAAAACTGACATAAGAGACAAAGGACATTACATAATCATAAAAGGGTCAATTCTCCAAGAAGATATAACAATTATAAACATGTACTGAGGGAAGGCACTAGGTAAGGATGAATGCGTAGGTGTCAGGAACACCACCTCAGAGCCAGAGAGGATTAGCGTGTCCAAAGAAGGGAATTTCAGGATGGATACACTGAAGAATCAACTGAGAACATGACTTCACCTGAGAAAGAGCCATTTCTTACTCCTCTTTCCTCTTCCTCCTCTTCTTATGGGCTTCTTCCTCAGACCATGTGAGGCTTTAGAGGTCGATCTTCAAAGTTGGAAACATGCCATTTAATGCTTAGAATCAACACACCCCCTTCCTGAGTCACCACCACACACACAGGGAAGCCCTCAGCATGTGGAACAGACGGTCCTCTGCTGCCCACTGTCCCAGGAGGGGCTCAGGACAGTAACTCCCACACACAGACCAACCAGTGAGTTTTCCACCCTTTCCTTCAGATCTCGCTCCCCTCCCGGTGAGGCCCTCACGTACCCAGCAGCAGTGGGCACCTCAGCTGGACCCGATGATCCCCTGCAGGTCACAGACCAGCCCTGATCCATCCTCGTGCAGAGCAGAGCCCTCACCCTCAGCCCAGATCTCAGCCCTCAGGAATGGGGGGACCTAGAGTCCTGATGTTCAATGACGGATCCAGATTGGAACATCCTGGGGAACCTTAAGTATTATTCATGTTGGGCCCCATCCCAGCTACTTTAAAAGGCATCTCTGGTCAGGGGGTATAAAACATATGAAGATGCCTTACTCAAATCAATGTGAAGCCTGGGCTGAGCACCATCTAGAGGAGGTGAGCCCAGCACACCTCACGCTTTCTTTTTCTTTTCAAGCACTACTGAGGTATAATTGATGAATAAAAATGCTGTACATATAAGCTGTACAATGTGATTATTTGGCAGATGTACACAATGTACAATAATTATCAGCATCAAGTAATTTACACTTCCATTAACTCACAGTTACCATTTTGTGTCTGTGTAGTGAGAACACTAAAATTTTACTCCCTCAACAATTCTCCAGTATATAGTAACACACTATGATCAACCGTAGTCAGCATGGTACACACAGATCCCCAGAACCTACTCATTTTACAAATGACAGTTTCTAACCCTTGGGCAACATCGCCCCATTTTCTCCAAAACCCAGCCCCTCGTAACCTTTTTACTCTAGAGCTCTGTGAGTTTTACATTTCTAGTTTCCACACAGAATTTATCTTTTTCTGTCAGACTTATTTCAGTGAGCATATTCATTCTAGGTTCATTCATTTTGTCACAAATGATAGGCTCCTTCATTTTTATGGCTGAATTTTGTGTGTGTGTGTGTGTATATATATACATATATATATATTATATATATATACATATATATAAAATATAGATATATTTATATATTTTATATATATATTACATATATGTATATATATAAAATCTCTTCATTATTCATTTATCAACATTATGGTTCATTATTCATCTCTTCATTATTCATTCGTCAACATTATGGTTCTTTCTACAACTTGGCTATTGCGAATAATGCATTAATGCTCATTGGAGGGCAGATATTTCACTCAATACACTGATTTCATTTCCTTTGGATATCGAGCCAGAGATGGGTTTGACAGATTGTGTCTGTGCTACATTAAATTTACTGAGAAACCACCATATTGTTTTCCATAATAGCCGTATCATTTACATTCCCACCAACAGGGCATTAAGTGTGCTCTGTTCTCTGTATTGGGCCTGTGTGTGTGTATGTGTGTCTGTGTGTTGAGACAGATAAAGAGAGGATAGTACAGAAACAAGCATGAGCCTGGCAGCAAGAAAGTTAACAGCTATTTCTTCCCAAGGATGAACCTCTAGACTTTAGATCACTGTGGTGTTGGGGCCCTTTGATTCTTGAAACAATCTTTCCAAACATGACAGGACTTTATGGTCCATGCTAGACACATACCTAGCAGAAGCTCCCTGCTCAAAACATTCTGCCATCTGACATAGGACTCATAATTTCCCATATGGACACAAATAAACTAACAAACTCTTATGGGGTCCAACACAGTCTGCAGACACTCTCTTAATGATCCTCATATAAAATACCAAATAACAAACCAAGCTCTTCAAAACTCATGCATCAGGAAAAACACATATGGAGACACCCAAGGATCAGTAGACCCAAAACCCCATATTTTCATTTACAATAATTCCAGCAAAAACACTGTCATCTCCAAAACCTACCAATTAAAAAGATGTCTCCAATGATACACATGCCTCAGTGAGACCCCAACATGCCCAATGAAATGCTCTCTTTTGTATCTTTCATAGTGCATCTGAAATACTCTTTACTCATTTTATCTTTCATAGTGCATCTGAAATATTCTTCACTCACAACCCAAAATGCTCAAAAATAGCAAAGGTAATGCGAAAAATGATCTGAGACTTTCTCTGTATTACTTGGAGGTTTACACGACGATTCTTGCCCTCCCAAAAAAGCCAACACAAGTCACTGCTTAGTGTGGATTCTATAGGGCACCCTCTAGATCCATTCCTGTGGTACCATGGCAGCCATCCTCCTATACCCAGAGCTCCCTATGGGTATATCTCAGGCCACAGCTCTAACAATACTGAGGGAAAATGGTTCTCTCTTTCTAAATCCACTGTCTTCATTCCTCCTCAGGAATGAAGGTGTGACCCAATGTAACCAATACATGCAAGCCTCAGTCTCAGCATCTATGTTACAGGGAAGGTGAGCTAGGAGCCTATGGCACCTCAAACCCACAACCACCCATAAACCCGTGTCATGATGCTCCAGACAGAATTAAGACATCCCTTGCCAATACTTCCCCACATCCCCTGATCCCACAAGGGACAGGTGCACACATTCACTGGGCTCAACTTGATGCCCACACCTGCAGCCATATCCCTCGTGCAGACCCATACAGGCTCTGCTTCACTTCCCCAACTTCTCTATCTCTCCTCCAGGCGAACAAGAGGAAATGTGATAAATGGCACAAAGACCTCTCAGCAAAGATCTTGCAACAAGAACACAGAAGCTCCCACCCAAAGGACACTGGGCATTCAGTATGAAGATCAAAAAGCTGACCCTCTGGAGAATACTTGCCAGCAACTAGGGACGTTATGGAGTCCAGTTACACAGGCATTTGAGTTCAGTGAGACAGTTACAAAGAGAAAGCATCCTTAAGTTTCTTGTCTCCTGTTCTCCCCACTCACATCTAATTGGAAAATACAGTCCCTATTTAGGGCCCTATCCTTCATATCCCCTTAGGTTCTGGACCTTCTGCCCCCCCTCCCTTAGCACAGTGAAATCACTACCGCTGACTCTGAGCAGATGAACTGCTGGAAGGCAAAGCACTTGTCAAGGTGACGACTGGTTCCTTGATGTGCACACCTGGAACACCTGTAGCTATAGCAGAGCAGTAACGGAGCAGAATAAACATGAGGACACCTGACAACACTGCAGGAGGAAACCAGTTGTACAGGGCTTCTTAGGCCTCCCTACATCTTTTTGCTCTGGAGTAATTAAGTAGGCACACAAGGTAAAGATTAATAAGCGATGATATAGCCAGAACAAATATGGGAACCGTCCTCATCACCTACCCTGCTACCTTCGTATTCCCTGAGGAGTACTCAGCCCAATGGAAATTCCTAGCATCTGAAAACATCCCACAAGTGAGGCGTTGCGATGACCCTGGGAAAAAGATGAACACTGTGTCCTTCGGTGGAGGTTAAAGACAAGAGACTCAAAATAATCAATGGAGAAGTGTGTTTCTGTTGAGGGTGACTGATATTGAGGCAATAAAATCTGGTTAATGTCACAGAGATTGTCAGGGGGTAGATGGGGAGCCATCTCTGAACTAAGACCTGAAGGAGGGTGTATGGCCAGAATCATGCTGATTTAAAAGAAAAAGGTAAGAGGAGCGACTAAGATCTGAAACATGAAAGGTGTTGGTGTGAGAGAGAAAAGGTAATGTGACCAGGACAGAGTGAACCATGAGAACAGGGTCAGCTCCCAGGATGAGGGTGGAGACACCGGCTGGGCCCTGAGGATGATACAAGTCTGTGTAGCTACGGCAAGGAAACTGGATTTTGTCCCGAGGACAAATAAAACCCAGCGGAGGTCTGAAGCCCAGGGGTTGACATAAACTACTTTCAGATTTACATTTAATGCAGAGAAATATGTCTGACTATGGTTTCTCAAACTATGAGGCTATGTTCCATTCTCAATCCTAGCATTTTTGCTGTTCATTCTAGGATGACTGGGAACCGTGAAAAATTCTAAATAACACAGGACACTCTCAGTAGAAAGAATTCCCACACACAAACACACAATTTGGCCAAACACTTCAGGAGTCAATATTCCTTAGACTCACAGTTTCTGAGTCTAGACTCTCATCTCCATATTACAAGTGGGCTCCCTGAGGAGGCCCAGAGGGGAGACATGTCTGAGAAAGCCCAGGTTGAATCCAGAGAATCAGGTGGAACTAAAGTCTGAAATGGGATCCTGAAGGGCCAGTGGGCAGACTTTGTCCTCATCGCCTGTCGAATTTAAAACACCAGGACCAACCTTCATGTTCCTGACAAAGGAAACTTCTCTTTCAAGGTCTGATCAATTCAATTGAGTATTCAATTCTTCTTTCCAGAAGATCTCAGTAAAATATTTAAACATGCAGATTTTCAAAAATATAGCCACTGGTGAAGAAAACATTGTAAGGGGTCAGCTGAAAAATAAACTGTGAGCAAATTTCTTCATCATGAATGGATGGCTCTGTTGGAGGAAGGTTCCAAGTCAATCCAACTCATCCTTCATCATTTGCAAAGAACACTAAAGAGGGACCTGAGCAAAATATCTTCCTGTCACCTCACAGCTATTTTAACAGACCAAATAAAAGAGAAAAAAACAAATATTAGACTAACTGGTTAAATTAGGTTTTGACTGTTAATGTAAAAGACCAATGACCTCTTTACCAAATACTCATCAAAATAGTCTAAAATTATTTACTAGTTATCAGAGAAGTTTTCCAATTATATAAGATGAAGAGGAAAAGCACTCAGGCCTCATATAAACCTGAATCAATAAAAAGAAATAATTTGTGAATTATTTTTAATCTAAAAATGCTGGTGCCGAAGTTTTTCAAAAATTGAGGATTTACCTTATTTAGAAAAGAATGACATGCGTAGACTACCTAAGGGAACCAAACTTATTCCAGAAGTTAATAATTACCCACAGGAAAGTAGAAATTGAATGCACTAAGATTTACTCCAAGCTACACAGAGAATTAAATGTAAAGAAACCAGAAAGAAAGAAGAAAACTCATTACAAAACCCAAAACTTTTAATGTCCCTTCAAAGAGGCACCATGTGGTGACAAAGCTAGTCATTTCTTGCGCCACTAGTCTCTCTCCTCTCCTCTACCTCATGCCAGGAAAAGGGAAGGGGGTGACCGACAACTGTCTGAGTCAAGTCACTGTGCCTTGGCCGAACAGGAACTGCAAATGGAAGTTATCTTCTCTTACAAATACTTAAAAAATACACAAACCTTTCACTTTTTGCACTTCCCATCCTCATCTGTCTAATTGAAGCAAATAAATTTTAATTCATTCGATTCTAAAGCTACAAAGCAACACACCACAACATAATCAACCATATCCAAACAACTCACCACCCATCTGGACCCAGTTTCTCACCTCTACCTGCACCACTATGTATTTCCATTTCATTCTGTTTAGCTGTCTCCTATTTCACCTGTCTTTTCGTTCCCCTCTACACTCCTGCTGTTTCTCCCCTCCTATTTCTCCCTCACCCTTGTCCTGCCCCACTCTGCGACTCCTTCCCCTTCTTGCTGCTCTTTCTCCCCAACCTTTATGATTGTCCTAAATATCCATGTATTTCTCCATCTTTTTCCCAAACTCAGCTCCCTCTCCGATCTCCAGATTACATCCTTTCCTTAACTGCTACAATGCCTTAGTCTGCACTCTCTGGCACCCCAGGTGGCTATGCCTCCTTCCTGCTTTCTCTCTTCTGCTCTTCTAGTCACTAGTTTTCCTCTTTCTCTCCCAGCACCACAGTTCTCTGAAGGGCACGGTTGCAACTCTTTCGCTCTCCGCCCACTCCCTGTGTGAAGTGCCTCCCTCCTACCGGTGATACAAGGCCCCTCTCCCTATGTTACTATCCCATCGGTTCTCTCTCATTCTTTCCTCCTCCGTTTTCCTGCTTCTCTCCCAGTCGCTCGGTCTCTGCTTCTCCTGATCCCCCTCGCCCACGAATTTACAAGGATGAGGGATGGTGACTGAGTAAGATGCCACACTACCGGAAGAGACTATTTTCCAGCGGGGTGGAACCTGGGGACAGACATACACTGGGTGTCACACGGCTGGTCCAGGTCACCTCTCCCTACGCGGGGTGAGGGGAAGGACTGACTAGGAAGGAGAGGCCTGCGAAGCAGAAGCACCGGCCTGAGGAGACGCGAGGACAGAGGGGTTGGGAGGGAGGGAGGGGGTCTCCGGAGAGGGGCGGGCTCTCCAGAATCCCGGGACCGGGGAGAGGACCCGGCCTCTCCGGGAGCGCGGCGGCCGGCGCTGCCCTCCAGGGGCCGAGAGGGCCAGGCTGGGGGCGCGAATCCATCTCGCGGAAGAGGACTTTACACTGCGAGGGAGAGACATTAACAGGTTTGAAGCAGGGAAATGTTGCGAAAGGCGGTGTCTACGTGGATAACGTAAAAAAGCCAAGGTCAGGGACCAACCTCAGAGCGAATTCAAACCCAAAGGAAAAAACACCCGTCCTGTGACCGCGACGTCTGGATTTACTTGGGATGGAGGGCCGGCTGCTGTGATTTTACATCCATAGTGACTCCGAGACCCCGAGGATGGAGTAAGGGGGACCGCGCGGCACATATACACTACAAAGAGAAAACTTACGGTCAGCCGCACGATGTTCACCTCGAGCTCACCGGGTCGGCTTCCGTAGGAAACCGCGGATACGCAGAGAGAAGAGGCGGGGCTTCCGGGGCGGGGCCTGGGCGGAGCGCTACGTGCGAGGG